GCCCACCCTTGACCATGTTCTGGACGTGGGTACAGATAGTGTGGATGGTCGCACACCCTTGATCACGTTCAGGACGTGACTACAGATAGTGCGGACGGTCGCCAGCTCCTTTCTGTTTCCCCACCATTGTCAACCCGCAGCCTCTTCTTCTTCTTCCCAAGGAGGCTGAGCTCCACATTGATGTGGTTGAAGTCCCTCCGCAGGGTTCCTCGGGGGCCCTTTGCTATGACGGTGTGTCCCTTCAGGGTGATGTCCACATTCTCCGGCATATCGACCATCTGGTTGCTGAGAACGGCCTTCATCCTCGCAATAGGCGCAGGCTCTCCATGTTCTATTTGAAGTCGCCACAATGTCCTCCTATCTGGGGATGCCCGCAATGGCCAGCCACTCTTCAGTGTAAGTGCTGTGTGCCCGAGTGTAACTGTCCACAGAACCAAACCGAACCAAAGTGTCTTCTATGACCGCGTTTGTAGGAACAGATCGTGTTTCTGAGAAGAACAGGGGCCAGGCCCATCCTGGCACGGAGAGGGGCCCCGGCCTACCCTGGACCTCTAAGTAACAATGGATGTGAGCCACCTCAGGTAACAGGAAAGTAGCCTCTATCGGATTATGATTTTGTGTTTTTTTTTTTAATTTTTGCCTTAGGATGGATGCAGTCACTAAAGAGACAGAAAAAGATAGAGAGAGCTAGAAAGTGAGAATTCACCCCTCTCCTGGGGAGATGGCCAAAACTCAGTCTCTCCCCCTCCAGTCACCTCATCCTCAGGACGCATGCACATGCGCCCAGTGTGATTCTCAGGTCCAGGACTTGACGCGCAGTGTCTGTCATGTGGATCCAGCACCTTCTCCACCACGCCACCTGCTGACCCTATGATTTTTACATCTCTGGAGGAGTCTCCACGCCTTCCCTCACTCCCCATCGCATGATGGGTCACTCTCTCGGAGGTGAAGACATGCAGATGGCGCCAGAGCGTGGACTGACAGCAGAAGAGGCCAGCACGGAGCCCGGGCCAGGCCTGGGGGAAGACGCAGGTCTCCAACTCTGGGTTATACTTCTCCTTGCCTGCAGCTTGGTGCCTGGAACATCGTCGTCCCCACTGTGCAGCTGTAGGAAACGAGGCCCAGCCCGTGCAGCCCCGTCTGCCTGTTTGGTATTCCGAGGTCAGGCCTGTGGACAGGAGTTCTGGGCGCTACCACAGTGCCTCAGCAGGTCCGCCTCTGGAGGACCCAACCTGGCAAAGACAGCACATTCCTCATAGGCCCACAGAGTAGATAACGACAGAATGGGATACTTCCAAGCCGGCTCAGCCTCCCTCCTTTCACAGCCCAGGCCAAACTTCATCTCCCTGTGGATGGCTGTAGGACTCTCGGCCTTCTCCCCCACCTTCTTCAACAGGGTTTGTGAAATAAAATGGGGTCGATGAGAACCTTGTTATCGGTGCCTCCCTGGGGCAGAGGCCCACTCCCTCACAGGGGCTGAGGACGAAACAAAGACCCAAAGCCAAATGTCTAGGGATTCTGGTGACGGGCCAGAAACCACATATGCACTGGAGACATGCTTTGTCCACCCGAAAGACTGCATTTTAAATTGCATCCCATGTTAATTAGTTTTCATTGAAAAACCGATCATTCAATTCAGTTATTGGAAAGCATAAATGTGAATTGGGCAACTTGGTTTTTAGGCCTGCCTCTTCAACTGCAAATGTTATGAAATCTAAGAACGGATCAAGCACTTCCAATGAAATTGTGCCTGAACTTAGACGAGCTGTAAGTGTAAATGCACATTCGAGTTGGAAGACTCAGCA